TTCTTAAGAAGTGAACAACTTTTTATTTATGGTAAATGTATTTGTGGAAGTTTAATGGTAACACTGTCTGTTTGCATCATGTGCATTTCTGGCATCTTTGGAATGAACTTTCAGTTGCTGCTGGCTGGCTTTTGCCTGACCGTGGAAAACAAAGAGGTACCACCAAATCACTCCTCAGTTCTCTTACGTGTCACCATCCAGGTAATTCCCTCCACTGTGGCCAGAGTGCGCAGTGGGACCCCACATTTCATTGTTCAACTTCAAATCTAGTCAGATCTGATCAGTTTGTTTGCTGCTATTGGTTTTATACAGATGTGCAATTCCATGCCATGGGAAGATGTTTATTTATTAACTGACTCTTGTTTGTTTGTTCGTTTTTCTGCAGGACACAAAGATTTATTTTTTTTTTAGTCTGAAGTTTCAGCGTTATTAGTTTACACAAAAACGTAATTGTGCTAAGTCCAACTCTGCCATCTTGTGGTAGATATTAAACAGTACTGTTTAACCTTTACATAATTCCTGGCGACAACTCTGTATACTAGTTATGTGGATATGAAATACATTTGCTGAAGACCTATTCCATACCAGCCTTTTGAAGGGGGCCTACAAGAAAACTGGAGATGGACTTTTTACAAGGTTATGGAGTGATTGGACGAGGGGCAATGGCATTAAACTGAAACAGGGCAGGTCTAAATTAGATACAAGGAAGAAATTCTTCACTCTGAGTGCCATGAGACACTGGCACAAGTTGCCCAGAGAAGTTGTGGATACCCCATCTGTGAATGTATTCAAAGCCAGACTGGATGGGGCACTAAGCAAAGTGGTCTCGGAAGGTGTCCCTGTCCAAGGCATGGGGCTTGAAACTAGATGATCTTTGAGTTTCTTTCCATCCCAAAACATTCCATGATTTCACCATTGTAAAGTATATTTGTAGTAAATATTCTCTGCATTGCAAGAAAAACCTCTATCCTTCAATGAGATAGGTTAAAAAGTGAATTACCTCGGAAGCTGTTTGCTTTACATTCTGTCTTGAATAATGAAAGGCTGACATTTGTTTCACATTTGTGAGGAGCTGGCTTGTAGTCAGGTTTACTTCCCAGTTCTCATGCAATGGTTCCATGCTACAGTGTTTGGATTATAAACAGGGGACTATTTAAACTCAGGCAATTACTTTTCCTCCTCACTGAGGTCTAGGCAGGAGCCAAGTTTTGAACAAAGCAGTTCAGTCAATTATATGCAAAAATTATTATAAAGCAAAGAACCATTTAAACCTTTTTGGAAAACTGATATTTGCACAGTGCCAGGACTCAACTCAAAGTAGTTTCCTTTCTGAAACCAGTGACCTAGTCTGTCTCCCACCCTGGGAACAGACACTTCAGAGGAAGGAGTAAGAAATCCTACTTTCAAAGAGTGACTCATCTTGGTCTTTTCCTCCTTCCCTGTACAGCTAGCAGTTGGCAAGCCAAGGAAAACAAACACCTTGTTCTCACTGTGACGTTGCAGTCACACCTAGTGTAGCAACATGAACTTCCCTTCACCCTGTCTCACCATTCAGGTCTGGAGTGACCCCCTCTTGAAATGAAATCTTGGCTTACTCAGTATCTGAAAAAGCCTTAGCTTGGTCTCACCCACACTTTATAAAGGACTGAAGTGCTCATAGTCTGTGTTTCAAAGGAAACCACTGCAGACTGGTAGAGAGCTCAGCTCCAGACATAGAGCGGAACATTGCCATGTTGAGCTCAGGGAAATCTCCAGTCACCAGGTCCACAGTATTCAGGGTGGTTCAAGAGACTGACACCTTTACTACTGGTATGCACATCCTTTTTGATGTAGCAAGGCACTGGATTTGGACCTCTGGTTTGAAGCCATTTCAAATTGTATCAATATTTTAAATATGCAAACATAGATTGAAAATTCTGGGGTGACCCTTCCCTTTCCTTTCTTTCCCTTTCCCTTCTTCTACTAAAATAATTTATGCATATAGAACTGCAAACTCATGAATAAACCTGCAGAAAATAAAAGGTGTCACAAAGGCCTTGCAAATTAGTGCCTTATATCCAGCCAAGCTCATCTCCTGCTTCCCAGTCACATCAAATTGTGATCTTTGTCCTCCCAGTTCCCTACCTGCTGCAGCAACGTGTCTCCTGCGGCACCTTGGAGGAGGCCAAGCTTGGCAGCTGAGGAAGCCAGATGTCAGGGTCTACAAAGAAAGTTTTCAGTAGTGGCAGCTGCTTGTCAGATCACATTCCCCCAAAGGCTTATGTTTGGCTCTGATGGTGTATCTGTTGGTGGCCATGGCTGGTCTTCCTAAAAGTCATGTGTGGGATCAGCTCCCAGTGGGAAACTCAAGTTTCTTCTCCTGAAAGGCAGTCTCCACTGATTTGCAGCTCTGAGAAAATGTTTGTTCTTTTTTCTCACGTTCTGAGAAAGAGTTTATGCTCAGTTTGTATAAAACAGAATTATTGAAAAAGGTAATTTTCCATAACTTCTAAAGAAGAACCCCTTTTATTTGTGTGGTTTTAAATGATAATTTCCATAATAATAAATATATACATTATTACATACAAAAATTTTTATCCTTGAATAGGAACTGGCTTTGGGATATTTATGATGGGTATTGATTTTCATTTGAAGCCGAGGAAACTAAGACAGATCCTTTTGAACTCAGGCACTCCATAAGCACTTAAAAGAGTCTTTGGTTATGAGATTACCTTGTAAACATAATGATCAAACGAGGCTTCAGAATGACATGTTAGAAAAGTCAGCATTTACCCACAGATTGAAAATATTTGAGACAATCTCTGTCACAAAGTAAACAGACACCTGTGCCATTAAATGAGACTTCACCTTGAGCTGTGAGTCAGGCAAACACCATCTCTGTCTTCAAGTATTCTTCCCTCTTCTCCTCTGGGCAGGTCTGTTGGAAGATGGCATTTTTCTGCTGCTGTTGGCTGTGTTCCTGCTGCCTGGGCACTGGCTTGGTGGCTCATCACAAACCTGGGATTTGGGATTTTGGCTGCTGTTGCCTGTGAAAGGAGGAGAGCACACTGACAAAGAGGGCACCATGTCTTGATGAAACCCTTAACCACAGTGCTGCTAAAGGTTTCAATAGGTTTTCACCCTGTAAATGTTCAGTTTGATGGCTAATAAGAATAGATGCCTTGTACTGAGAGGAACACTAACCCTATTCCTGTTCTATCAGGGAAGGATGCCAGGTCCTGATCCTGATCCCTGTGGCTGTCCCACCTGAAGGGAGCACTGTTACCAGTCTGAGCAATTCCCAAGGATTTGGATGCTGCAGTGCACATCTGAGTGTCTAAGTAATTTAACTGTCAGTCATACCCTCTCATCCTCTCAGACACTTCTTTGGATGGTGAAAGGCATCACCAATCTGTGATATAAAGATATTTCATTTCAGATTTTAAATTTACAGTCCTTGGAGTTTATGAAGCATTCCTCTTTAAGATTTTCTGAGGATACAAGGCACAAAGCATACAATGTTGAATTTCCATTCTCTTAGGTCAGACCCTTCTTGTCCTGGAAACTTCTCTTTTTGCTTCTCTCTAGTCTTGCCAGAGTTTTTGGATTTTTTGTTAGATGCAACTGCTTACTGAAAACACCACTGCTTAATGTGAGGTAGCAAACAGGCTCTTAACAAGGATCCTATAGGTCAGCTCAAGGTCCATGCAGATTACTGAAGTTTAATCTGAATAATTTTGCTAGATTATGAGAAGTTTCACAATTTCTATGGTTACTTAAAGAGTCAATCTCTGTCATTTGTGAGGAGCTGCTTAATTTTTCAGTCCTCTGATCATTCTCCCACCTTCCCTACAGACAAAGTTTTCTGGAGCAGCCTCAGTTGAGTTAGCTGTAATGATGTGAACTGTGCTGTACATCTCAGACCAGCTGATAGAAACACCCCCTACATGTATTATTTTTACAGCAACTGTGAACAGCAGCTTAATGGATCACCACAAAAGCTTTATGGTGGATTATGGTAGTGACATTAAAAGAGAGACATGGACTACAGAGAAGCCCTGGCATGCAAAGAGGAATTTCAGAAGTGCACAGCAGCCTGTGCATGGTGACAATCACTGTGGCTACAGGGTATGAGCTGAGGGCTATGCCCTGGTGTCAGTCTCCTGGCATGGATGCCACATGAACCTCTGGTTTGAGCCATATACCATCAGCGTTGCAAAATCAGAGATTCAAGCAGGGTCAGCCCCCGGCCAGGCAGTAGATGGCACCAATGTACAGCACTTACAGTATGCATAGTTATAAGGAAAAAAAATAAATTCACACTGCTCTTGCTGCTTACAGCCCTTCTGTTTGATCTTGGCTCAAAAACACCTTTTCTAATGATCATTTTTCCATAGCAAAGCCCAGATCCCTGCACCTTCAGATGTAAGCACAATTCAAGGCTCTTTGTGATCAGTTATTCTCTTCTTCAATTCACCATTCTATAAAATCAGCACAAGAATTAGGAAGCAGGATCTCTTCATCTCTGCTTCATGCCTGTAGCAGATCAGCGACATCCTATACTGCTCTCTTCCCAGCTGCTAAATCTGGTTCATAGGGTATCCATGCACAGACCCAAATTTCAAGCCATATTTGAACGTAGAGGGAACTTCTTTGGGAGGGTTGCTGCTGGTTCCCCTCTCTCTATGTACTCTGGACCATAATCTGCTTCCCAGGAGCCATTGGTGAGTTTTTGCCAGTGGATCACTGGCTATCACAGGGTCCTTGGACATCAGCAGATTTGTCTCTTTCTTGCTCTTATCCAGAAACATGTTATAGTTTATTTCAAACCCTTTGCAATTGCTCTTATGTTTCTGACAGTATTTTATGGCCTGTGATTTGGATTTTGATACAGGAGAAAGAGGCACATAGAGACCTTTAAAACCTTCATGTAGGTTAATGTGGTTGCCTGAAATTGTTGAGGTCTCTCATAATCCAATTGTTTCTTTAGTCCTAATATCTTGGTGCACTGAGAATTTCCTCACACTTTGCTTACCTGTACCCACAACTCCAGTTTAGATCTGCAGCAGGATGAGGAACTCTTGTCTTCCACGGCTTTGCTTACAAGCATGGAACACAAAGCAATAGAGTCCATGTCACTGCCTTAAATACCTCTTGAATAATTATGAGAGAGTCATTTGGTGTCTCTACCCCCCTCCTCCCCTCCTATAGTCACTCAAGGTTCTGACCTAGGTTGTCAAAACTAGCTAAGCATCTCCCAGCTCTGTGAAGCCCACATGGGGCAGACTGTTTGTACTTACAGAGGGGTTTCACCTGAGACCTGCAGGGTCACAGTTTCTCCAGAGACAGAAAGAGCAACACCTCCAGAGTTGCAAGAGACTATGCTGGCAACCATATATTTTAAAGTATATCAAAGCATTATCTCTGTAGAACAGATAATTTTTCTGAAACTTTAAAATAGTTTTAAAAAAAAACACAAGAAAACCTGGCAAGCTGTCACTGTCCTCCTACAGCTTTTAGCCAGCTTTTCTTTATGATAAACACATTATTGGCCCTATATAATTTTCATATTCCCAGCAATTGTTCGGTTTGTTCTGCGTCCTTCTCTCCTACTCTAATTCCACTCACAAAGGAGTTTGTTTCAAGGAACTTGAAGTTTTAAGACAAGTTTTAACTATGGTGTTGTGTCCACCTGAGTTCATTAGAAGGTGAGCTCCCTTTGCTTAACTGAGTCAGAATAACCTTATTCTGAATAACATGTAGGTACTTGAGGGGAATCTCTTCTAGGCTCAGGAAGACAAATTATAAAAGACTTCAAGTCTCGGTGGCCTCTCCAATAGTTCTGAAGATCCTGCTCTGTGGGGATTACAGATGGTCCAGTAGGCACTACAGAGAAATTTAGGAGACAGACATTCACTAGAAGCACTGATTTCTTTCCTGTCCTTGTCAGAATTGCTTAAATCTCTACAGTCTCCTTTCCTCATCTCCCTTTCCTTTCTTCATCAGGGTGCAGTTACGAGACTGGAAGTAAACAGTCAGATATTTGCTCCGTGTTAATAAAATCACATATAGGTCCCTTCATTCCCAGTTCTAAGGACAATAAAGTAAAGCATTTGTGAAGAATTATAATCCACTTTGTTCTGAAACAACCTTGAAAGCCAAAGAAGGATTTCACATCAGCATGTAGTTTTACACCAACAGGCACATTTAGAACATTATGACTCATGTAAGTATTTCTGGGTCAGAGGAAAAAGGGTTATTTACCTTTTGCTGAAGAGCTACAGTCTTTCAAGGGAGAGGAAAAAGTGAATGGGAACATTGTAGCTGGGTCATCAGGACCAAGTTTCTACAGTCCCTGACACGGTATATGAAAGGCAAGTAAAGAAAGAAATATGTTTCTCCTTTACCTTCCCCCCAGCCCTAGACATCTCTAATCACAAACCAGTTCTCAAAACCCAATTTAAACTTTCTCACTAAAGATCTAAAACTTCAAGATTGGACCATATAAAATGACAAATGCAGGATAAATTAATGACAGAGCCTGTTGGGGGTGGGGGGTGGTTCACTGTGACTCACGGGCATTTGTAGGTGAAACTGTGTGGGAGATCTCAGATTAGTAATGCTGATAACTGTTATTTGGCCACTTATTATAGGTGGATACAGTGGACAAGATTTGGAACATGCAGTTCTTGGGAAATGGACTGTGCACAATGCTGCAGAAAAGGACAAAACTATAGGAAGCAGAGACAGGTGTTGGTACCTGCTGTAGAAATGCTCTTTGCTCAGCCCCAAATCCGGTGACTGATTTAAGCCTGGCCATGTGAAGAAAATACACCAAATAGATGCATTACTCCCATCACTGTGGTGGTCTCATGTCCCTCAGCACTGTGTGTCCCTGGGAAGTGTCCCCCTCTCTGAAACACTCAGGTCTCAAAACAAAACTTTACCCTGCTGAGGACATCTGCCACTGCCTGGGTGTAGCAGTGATGGTCATCAGGGCTCTGTGTGTGATTAGGGCTTCCTGTACACCGTGGAGCTCTGCTGGAGATCAGCAGAGAGCCACCAATGCTAGCATTTCAAAGTAACAGAAGACTGTTCAATTCAAAAGATTTTGCTTTAGTGGACACTGATGAAGTTATACTCCTTTCTAGATGTACAGGCTAGATATATAGCCTAGAGTGTCATGAGAATGCTGTTTCATGGTTGTTCAAGGTCAGAAAGGCATCTATTTGAAGATATCTAGAGGCTATATTTATTGGTAATGCATGATATCTATTGAGTCATATGTGCAAGGGTCTTCCCACCCAGGTAATTCCTCTCCATCATCCCTTCCCACCAGGCTTGAAGAATCTACAATTTACCTTTATGAGAGTTAGAGTTTTTGAATAGAGGATGCTAAAAGGCCTGAAAGATCATGTTGGGTAGGGAGCATCAGCTAGTTTAGCTTTGTCAGAGGAGGAGGATGAAATAAAGGCAGGCAACTGCTATTCTGGCTCCTGCATATGCTCAGTAGCTAGACCTAGTTAGAAAAATCTACTCTGACGTTCAAGGCAATACATTCTATTTGTCAGCTGATTGGTTTGATGAGGACAGTCAAATCTGCCAGCAATAGATACAGTGCAGTGAGTAACATCCTCCATAGCACAGCAGTGCCATGGCAGTTCATAGAGAACATGGGACTTACAGTGCTCTACCAACATGGAAAAACATTCCTAAATCAGGGTCTGTGATTGTGATAATTCTGTCACTAAGGTATTCTGAGGGATGGTGAGAGATAGATGAATATCTAGAGATGCTTTCCATAAGATTAAAAGAATAAAGCAGAGCACTACAGATCATCCCAGCATTACTGGGAAACCTAGTATGCTTGCTCTGTACCACCACAGTAAGATCTCCTAAGGATAATACAACATCCATGTCCTAAAGATGACACAACATCAACATCCAGATTTGCAGGAAGGCAGCCAGGGAATATTGGATCAAATTTGTCTGTGTACCCAGCACTAAATTGTCTTCTGTAATTGATACTAAAGTTAGAACTTGAGCTTCCTAACGAGGCAGTAGAGCACTGAGTCCCCACTGGTTTTGGTTCCCTAACAAACACCATCTCTATGAAGTCATGTTAAAGAAGGAGTTCATGTAGAAACAACATTTTTAGGACATATGAGGTAAGACTTACCATTCAGTCAAGAGTCCTGGATCCAGCACGTGGTGCACTGACTAAATTAGAACACAGGGATGGTTATAAGATCAGATGTTAAAACAGATCTGTGTAGTATTCAACCATGAGACTTGCCATTCACATTTCGACATATCCCCGTAGCAGTCCACTTTGAGAACTGCCATTTACTCTGCTATTTTACACATTTTAAGCCATTTTAATTAATGCAACAGTCCTTTCTGTTATCTAACAATTGTTCAGTTCCTACCAAAGCATTATAAATAGTTTTTAGACATCTAGGTAGCCTGTATGTATTGGCTTTCCCTTATCCACATGCTTGCTGACCTCTTCAAAGAGCCCCAGTAAATCGTGATGCCTGAGCAAAAAAGTCCATTTAGGTTCCCTCCCATGCAGTTCTCTGTACATCAAACTCTGGCCAGTTGCTTTAACCTCATGTGTCTGAAGCAATATCTACATTTATTCTTGATGCCCTTTGATAATGGTTCTTAGGATGCTGAATCAAAGTACTGTGTGGTCACAACTGCAGAACAACCCTTTGACTACCCTGTGATCTATTTCTTCAGCCATACCTCCAAGATATTTAAATTCCCAATAAATTTGCAGATGGTACTTTTTTCACTTCCTTTTCTGAAGCAAATAAGATACTTATACTCATCAGTTGTGGGCAGACAACTTGACATAAAAGGCAGGGTTCAAAGCCTGAAATTTTCTGCATTCTAATTGCCAAATTGAAACAAAAATAAAAGATCTTATCTGAGATAAATTACTGTTACATAATTAACACTACTTACATGAAAATATGTTATGTTCTAAAAATGCTAGAGGGTAAAAAAAATACAACAACAATGATGAGATGAAGGAAAAAAACCAGTATACTCCAATTTTCAGGCACGAGTGGGAAGGAACTGCAGAATGCTGGGACAAAGATGTGTAGGACAAATATATCGCCTGCTTGTGTACTGTTACCAAAATACTCACTGAAACACATGGGGCATAAACAACCCTATTTAGAATACAAGATTGCACACATAGTTAAAAAGCTGGGAAAATAACTTGAAAACCTAATGAGCATCAAATGGATACTGTGGAGGAAAATGCCAGAGAAATGGCAGGTGTGAAGGCTACGTAAGATCATCTTCGATGAACAAGTCAAGAGGGTTATGAGTACTTAAGATTTGTATCACTTCTTCAGATTATAGATGATAGCTCTTAACAGGAGGATGCTACTGACGAATTACATTGTCAAAATATTGTTGTTATATAGGCATGAAGGGTAAAATATGTTTAAACACACAGTTTTGGATATAGTGAGATATCTGTTCAGCTCAAAGGAAAAGATGCAGATATTGCTTAAAAAGTAGGATCCTTTCTGCAATCAGAAATGTGCATGCTGGGATAAAACCATTGATGTGAGCTGTGGGCATGACTCTTCCAGAAGGATACAGGGCACGAAGAAAACAAGCATGAGAGGTCATGGATTTATAGACCTCTGACCAAGAAAGTAATGTTGACATTACTGTATTTGGAAGAGGCAGAGGACACATAATGGTCTGCAAACATACAAAAGATTGCTTTTCAGAGTGAAGTCAACATTTGTGTTTAACTGTTTTAAAATTGTGACAAAGATTAGATTGATATCAGAAAAAACTTACTAACTGTGGGGGTAGGGAAGCCTAAGATGACTGAGGAATCTCCACAACAGAAGCTTCCCTGCAAGCATGTTAAACAAATACCTGGTGGGGGAAATTCAGGTGAGGTTGATCCTATTCTGTACCAGTGGACCCCTTTAAGTCCCTCCAGCTGCATCAATGATCTCTGTATTTCTATGAAGTTATGTACAAGGTTAGGTGTTTATGAAAAGATGACGATGACTTAACTCACCATATTTTTTCTAAATGAAATCTGTATGTTATAAACATGGATTCTTTAAAAAGGTAAGAATTTTAAAACAGACTTTCCCATGAAAATTATTAGTTTTAAATTAAAAACTAAACCCCTTATCAAAATATTTTAAATGAAAACAAATATTCTGATTGAAAAAAAAAAGCTCCAATTTAGGATTGTTTCCCTGGTAACCAGGAACACTGTAATTCTGTGGACTTGTTCTTCACATTCTCCCCCGGGTGCCAGGCTTCCAGCTTGCCCAGCTCTCCTGTGGCTATGACTCCTGTTAGGGCTGCTCCCCCCTCTCCCAAAGGGTGGATCATGAAACATCATAGTATGTGCAGACCAAGGTGGATGCACAGCTGGAATAGAACAGGATCGAGAGGAACAACAGAGTTTCAGTGAAGTCACCTAGCAAAATATGTAAGGAGAAATAGGTTTAGTATAACTTTTTATTAAATTAACCTCTTTGGGTTTTTAGAAAACAAATATCTGTCTCTTGTCCCCTACAGACAGCTTGAGGACAAATAAGCAATTTATGAGAAGCTCCTGATGGCAGCTTTCATATTTCTAATCCATCACAAGGAATGATCTGATTCTGGGGATTTTTCTGTACTTCTTTGGTTTTCCTCAGACGAAAAGATTGCATTCATTGCAGCCATTGGAAGTGTCAACATTATGCACATCCCCTAGAGCAAGATTCAGCCCCTGCCAGGCTGTGCTCAGGGGCTCAGCACTGGGCTGAAAACATGAGAAAACAAGCCACCCATAAAATGGACATCCCTTCATCCCAAATCAATGGGAAGTCTATCAGCCTTTATTAATAATGTCTCTTCCAGATGAATGATCGAGTGGGACAACAATTTCCCTGTCCTGTGCTCACATTCAGAGGGGTACTCTAAAAGGAGCAGCTGGTTGACTTCTTGGAATAGACCAGCAAGTCCAGCAGAGTCCAAAGGGGTATTTTGGTACACTTCAATAACAACTTCACAGAGTGCTCAGGTGAGAGGCAGTGCCCCACCTAAATATTTGACCTGAAGTTGCTCACTGAGCAGGCTCTCCAGGCTGATCTCTTTGATGGATCAATTTGGAATGTGTTAATGGCATTACTCAGCACAATAAATAAAATGCAACTCACCTTAACGTTTCTTGGAAGGAGTCATGGAGTTTATGACACCCAGTGGGAACAGCAAGAGAGGGTCATCTGGAAGGAACAGGGAAACATGCTGAGTGCTCACAAGGGAAATTTTGAAAAACAGATGGAGAAAATATCAGAATTCTCAGCAGCCCCCAAGGAACAGATGAAAAACTTTTGGGTCAATAAGCCAGAGAGTGAAAGGCTCAGAAACAAGGTTTTTGGTCAAATTATCTGGTCCACATACTGGGCAATGTTAATAATCCACTAGCTCCTCCAATTTTCATGGGTGCAAAATGTTGAAAATTTCTGAGGTGAAGCAGTAGGAAAGATATTTCCCATGTTATTTATGGGAAATAATTTTTTTTTTAAGTGAAAAAGAAGGCTTTTTATTTTCTGAAGACCCTTATAAGGAATTTGAATTTTCCTCTGATGACAAAATCAATAGGAGAGGGCATTTTCTAACCTGATCATCAGATCTATTACTGAAGACTCAATTGGTGCAGAAACACAACACAATAAGAATTTTAGATAGAAGTACCATTTGTAGCTGTTAAATTACCCAAAGGATCTTTCACATGAATGCTCTGGACTGAATAGCATGTGCGTACACATTCCAGTCATGGATCCAAAACAAATTAGGAAGCTAATACACACCCTCCACTGGGACTTAATTGACCATTAGTTTCCTAGGTTCTGAAAAATCATGTCATTATATCTAACTTATTTCAACAGTGCTTTTTACCCCCATAGGATTCTAGTGCTAATAAATTTTTAAAAAAATGCATCCTCCACCTCAAAAATACTACTGCCTTTTGAGGGTGAAAGCTTCTCCCCAGCAACACTTCACAAGTGGTATGGACATTTTTACTCAGGAATTGAAAGATACCATATCTCAGTACAATTACGCAGAAGAATGTAGGTCAGACAAACATAATTACCAATTACAGTGTTTAGAAGATGTGTCAGTAACAAGCTCACTGCTGGGAAACAGTATAGCTAGTTCTTAATAATAAATTTCCTTTAGACATCAGCCTCTCCCCAAAGATTCACACCAATAAAATGTAGCAGAAAAATAACAAAATCCCTTTAAATGTCTGAAGGGAGTTTATCTTTTGGGAAGAAAAACAAAAAACAGCAGATAAAAATTGAAAGTAATTATAATTTCAGGGCTAACTGTAGCCATTCCAAAACTAGACCTTTCATGAGCAAGTTCTTGGGATTTTAGCGATGCAGACAGTTGCACAACAGGCAGCCAGCTTTCTCTTTGAGATAGGCAACAACATCCTCGGAGTCTGACACCTCTAATATCACTGAACTGGAGTCTCGGTTCGATATTGAGCTGGAAAGTGCCACTCTCAGACTCAAGCATAACTTCTGCAAAAATAAAAAAACCCTAATATTCTTGCAGTTCATCTTTACTTGCATACCCTTTGGTCTTCTGAAGCTGGTCAGCTATGCTGTGGGGTAAGATTGAATTTGAAGGTGATAAACCTAAGGAAGAGCTAAGCTTTGTTGTTTGTTTGTGAGCTCTTAACCTCCCTGTATGCAGGGCTCTGTTTGGATACACGAGACAGCAACATATTCTTGGCTGGTTTCCTTTGAGCAGAAAACTCACCACCTTCTGCATTCTGATCAGTGGTGAGCCAGCCCAAGCCACCCGTTAGCTGCAAAGTGCACCCCTGATTTTATGGTTCCCTCTGTTCCTCAAGAAACACTTAATCATGTGATGCTCCAAGCCTGAAGATTTTGCAACTGTCACAAGGCTGCACCAGACAGGTACCTCGGTCAGGTATTTGGACTTTCTTTAAACTCCATAAAAATAACAAACAAAAGGGTTGACCTTGTACTGTACGTGCATGAAGGCAGGATTTAAACAGATGCAGAAAAGATCAAGAATTTCAAATAGGCCCAGGAGAATGCCATTCTGCAGGAGTATATTAGGGTTCAGTGTAAAATCTCACCACAGAAAAAGAAATTAAATGAAATAAAAAATAAGTGTAAACCCCAAGAGTACTAGCAAAGATGTTGAACACTCTACTCCAGTTCCTGTTTTCTGATACTAATCATACATACAAAAACCTGTGTCCATTTCACAGAGCAAACGACAATGCCCTCCTGATTCCAGCAGCTATATCTCCATCCTCAGTTAAAAGACATTACAGAAATGTAAACCATAGCAATCAGAGACACAGACAATCAAACCCTGTGCATGTGTCTTAAGAAGTTTGGCACCATAAATAATTGGATTATTTTGGTTTTTATCATGCATCTTTCATTAAGCATCAGTAACTCTCAGTGACTTCCAGATCCCATCTTCATGGCTAGAACAATATCCACTTGGAAGAAACTAAGGACAGTATTTTAAATAGGTAGAAGGCAGGTATTGAAACACAGAAGTATGACACTGTTGCACATTTATAAACAGCCATAGGTAGTGTGATGTTTATATATCATCAAGAGACAGGATTTTATTCTAAATAAGGAAAAATATCCAAGTGACAGAGGCTTTACATGTCCATGAAATGCATTTCTAAAAAAGACATGCCGTGTTTCAAGTATGAGTTATAGGACCAGATGCTGGAATCCGGGTGAAGAATTATAGGCTGCGTTTATAGAAGGTCAGGTCGGGTAACCACAATGGCCTGAAAAATATATTAATCTCATTTGAAAGATGGAATGGAATGCAATCTTTAAGTTAATATAAATACACCATCTGCAGCAGTGAGCCCTGAGGAAGGCATCAGAATATGGAGCAATTTAGGCAGAGAGGAATGAACCGAATGTGAGATAAGGCCAAAATGAAAAGCAAAGCCTGATGTCTGTTACCCTCTGGAGAAGGTGAGGTTCGGGCCTGAGTCCAGTGCATGATTCCCAGACCTAACCTGTGTTTCTGGAGAAATCTTAATGATCTCGTTAATCCTGGGTTCAATGCAGTTCATCCAAATGAGAGTGAGGAAGTGATGGGATGACAACCTGTGCTTACGCATTTACATCAGGAAAAGATACTGCATCCAACATCAGCTACTCATTTTGCAACTCATTCTGATTAACACAGAATGTAGCAGTCATACAGCTGGCAAGTGACATTATCCTAAGAGCTGGTAATTAAAAGTGGACAAAATTAAGACAATTGTAGCTGGTACTTCCCAATGGCTAATATCCTCCAGCTGAGGAAAATTATGAAAAAACAGCGAGTGGGAGGAAGAAATCAGAGAGGAAAACATGAATGGAAATCAGAAGTTCTTTCAGAATACTCTGTCCATCAGCATCATCAAGGACAGACTGGCTAAGGCTCAATTACTTCAGTGGTAAACTAAAAGTGTTTTAAATATTCAACAAATAGGGAAAATACAGCAACTGTCTAAAGTGAAGAGAAACTTATATTGGAAAATAAAGAGATTGTGAAAACCTGGCACATGGCAATGCTGAGCAGGATTTTTTAGGAGTGTTTGAATTGCATACAGTAGAATTGTGAACAACAATATGAAAAGCCAGACTTGTTCAATAAATGTTTCCATTTGGTATTTTGAAAAGTAATATCTTGACGGTGTTTATATGAGACCAAGGTTGAATAAGTACTTTCCAGCCCATTAGGAAATAAGCAGGATGTTAAACATCATCCAGAAGAGATAAACATTTTTAAATCAGCAGGCCTGGATAAATAACACCCAGGGGTCCTAAAATATTTGACTGAGGAGAACTCTGGCTTGCTAATGTTAATTTTTAATAAATTTTAATATCAGAGGGATTCCAGGTGACTGGAAGCAGGGTAGTAACCTGGGGGGAAAAAAAAAGAAAGTGAGAGTTCGAGATAAAGAGAGAAAAGGGGAGAGAGGGAGAACAGGAAACCAAGTGCAATTACATAGGAGTTATTGAGCAGCTAACCTCACATCAATCCCAGGTAAAACAGTGGGAAAACTGAGACAGGACTGAACTGCTAAAACATGAAAGAACAAGATTTTAATTACTGCCAGTCAATGTGGGTTTATGGAAAATAGCTCAAATAAAACTGGTTTCATGTTCTGCCTGCAAAAAAAAAAGACAACTGTACAGATGTAGCAGGCTTTCTCGAGGCTTTAGACTTAGTGCATGACATACTTAATAGATAAACACTCTATAACATGAAGGAAACTTATGTTAAATGGCTAAGACATGGCTATTTAGCATAACTCAAAACCCAGCTGCGTCAATCAGATCATCATCAAATGAGGATTCTTTACTGGCTTTCCACAGGGCTTTGAAGTATACTCGGTGCTATTCAGCGTTTTCACTGATGCTCTGCAAGGGAATATAAAGTCAGCACTGATAGACAGATGGCTGACACAAATATTAGCAGCCTGGTAAATAACGATGAGGAGAAAATACTAATGCTGAGAGTATTTTGGGTCACTTGTTAAAGGGAGCCCATCTGAACAAAATGCAGCCAAGTCCAAAGGTGATCTATAAGGCAGAGAGTGAAACAAACCTGATAGGACTCTGGATCCTGGAAAGCTGTGATTCTGGAGAATGGTTTGGGAATCACACTGGGCAAGTAACACTTGAAAATACTAATTCCAGAAAGACTATAAAAAAGGAGAAGTTGTTCCCATGATCCATATACCCACTCAGAAAACCCTGGAGGTAAAAAATGCTAACAGAATGGTTTATTCCAAGAACTGCAAAGATGGATGCCCAAGAATCCTACGGTCAGAATCCTTCACAAACAAGGGAGCAGTGAGCAGTAGTGTGCTTTTATCTTCTCACAGTACAACATCTCACAGAAGTCTGGTCCAGTTTTTACCAACCTCTGTGAACAACTGAAATGGCAAGAAAGAACAAGTGTTAGGCTAACCTGATGAATGAAGGAGACACCTAACTGTGAGAGATTTAACGACCTGTCTACTGAGTTTATTGTGAAGAAAAAGATGAGTGATGTCTTGATTACACTACGTAGTTACTTCCAGAAAAGAGCGCACTGGATACTAAAGGGTTCTTACATCTGGCAGAAAAAAGCATAATGAGAACCGGTAACTGGAAGTTGAAATCAGAAATTCAAAACGGTCACAATTTTTCAAACAGTGACAGCG